ACTGAGGATGTGCCGGCGAGTCAGGGTCTCACTCATTTCACAAGTAGCCATCTGGCCCTAAGGCAGGTGATACCATAAGAACTGGGTTAGGCTGCCCGGGTCCCTGTCATCATAGAGATGACCATCTCTCCCCGTGAGGCTCCTTCAGCCAGAGGAAGAAATGCATCTGTTCCCTCTGTAGCTGAGAAGACCCTTCTGTTCCTCAGGGCTGAGGACAAGCTCACGTCATCACTGCTGGGATCCATGACATTCTCATTTACTGGATCTCCCCCCGCCGCCACCGCCCTCCCGTTGACACACTGACAGGTTTCTTCTCTCAGATGACCCACACCAGGGGACATGGGACCATCTGTCTCTCTCTTGTGTCATACCCAGCCCAATGGGGCCAGTTCAGGTCTCCAGACAGTGTCAGTAGGTGGTCCTCCAGGGCAGCCTACAGCCCCAGGGCCTGTCTCTTGGGCAGGTAGGGGGAGGAGAGGAAGACGTAGAGCCAGGAACAGAAATATTGAAAAGGATTAGTTAAATAGTCCAGTGAGGCTTGGAGACAGCCAGTGACTTGCTATATCCCGCATCTTAATGATGACATCGGAAATCACATGGCAAACATTTTTCCTTTTTAAAAAATTGTGTCACTTGCATTTTTATAAGTGCTTCAAATCAAGTTTTTCCAAAGCTGTAAATAAAGCTGAAACTCCATATGAGAAGCAGTTATCTGGCAGGATAAGAGAGCTTCATAAGAAGAGAGGTGGGGTGGGAAGAACTTTTAGAGTTGCCTTGGGAATTAGATACTAAGGGATTTCAGCAACTGCTGTCAGCAGACGCCTCTGTTACCTTCTTGGCGTGCACACTTTGACGGAGTAAGCTACCATGTTAGAGGGGCCCACGTGGCAAATAATTGAAGGTGGCCTGTGACCAACAACCAACTAGCAACTGAGGACTGCAGTCGAGTAGTCTGCAAGGAACCAAATTCCACCAACAGCCACGTCCGCTTAGAAGTGGATCCTCGCCCAGTCGAGCCATCAGATGAGACCGTAGCCCCAGCTGACTCCTTTATTGCAGCCTGGGGGAGACTGTAAAGCAGAGAATGCACTTAAACTTTGCCCAAATTCCTGACTCTCAGAAACTGGAAATAATAAGTATGTGTTGGTTTAAAAGAAAAGAAAGGAGCCTTCTTAGAAATTTGAGTTCATTTCACTCCCAGAAAGAGACGAGCTGGTAAATATGTAACAGGACTAACGTTCTGTTGATGCAAACGGACAGGACTGATTTATGAGCACTTCTGCCACTGATCTGTCAAGTTCAAGAGACATAAAGGCAAACTCCAGAGCCGTGATTTGTCAGAGCTCCAGTAAGAAAGAAAAAGAGAACCAAGCCTGACCTTCTTGAGGTTTTTTCCATCACATCTGTTTTCTTGATTGTGTCTTGCCAGGAAAAAGACTCTTCAGTTGCTATGGACCGATCATTTTTGAGTCTGCTTCCAGGCCAGTCCCTCATGGACAAACTTTACAACATTTGGATTCGCCTTCAGAGCCACGTCAATATTGTGTTTGATAGCGAAATGGACAAATTAATGATGGAAAAGTACCCTGGCATTAGACAGGTGAGCAGGAAGTTGGATCCCCATTGATAACTGAAGGCGTTAAGTGATAAACATATTGGTATCGAAGGAAGACAATAATAAACATACTTTCTTTTTTTTTTAAATGCTTTCCCTGGACCTTTAAAGATCCTGGAGAAGAAAGATGGTTTATTCCGAAAGCACATGATGGGAAAGCGAGTGGACTATGCAGCGCGCTCGGTCATCTGCCCAGACATGTACATCAACACCAACGAAATTGGAATTCCCATGGTATGTGCTGTCGGGTGGGCGTGGTGGCGGGGCCGGGAGAAGGGGTGCGGCAGATCGCGGTGGCCTGGGTGGGGACAGCCTCTGTCTCTCCCTAGACAGACCATTTGGTGGGGACCTGAGGCTGTGTGGTAGCATCACTCTCACTCCCCGCCAGGTGTCCTGACACCCTCCACCCACAAGGAGGACCCACCTCCCGGGTCGTGGGGAGCAGACTGCAGGGTGCACGTCCCGCCCTCCCGTCTTCCTCCTGTCTGTCTTGGCCTAGTCTTTAAACCTTCCTAGTCAGGTTGAATACATGACAGAGAGGGGGAGGGGGAGGCGGGTTTCCGACCCATGTGCCTGCCCGGTGGCAGGAGGAGAGGAGAGAGCCCCAGAGGGGAGGCCTCTGCACATGGCCCTCCTCCTCTGCCCGTTCCTTGTTCCTCGGGGTAAGCGGTTTGCCCCTTCTGCCCATTAGTGTTTCCCCAGGGCCCGGCCTCTGTTTCTCACTTCCCCACGCGTCACACTGCGGTGCTCGTTAGCAGCAGCCCTTTAATCAGCTTCCCCAGTAATGGGCCCTGAGGTCAGTACTATGAAGGTGGTTTAATTCCCTGGGTGGAGAGGCTCATTTCCTCGCTCGGCCTCCCTGCTGTTCTCAGGAGAGCACCGGTAATGAGCAGAGAGCAGAGCTCAAATGTCCCGGTGGCCTCCCGCATGCCACAGCCTCGTCCCTCTCGGGCATACGTGGGCGTCCTGGCAAGGGCGTGACGTATGAGGGGACAGGGTAGAGAAGGCCCAGTCCCGTGCGCACCACCTCCTAGGAACCATGGGTCTTTGCATCTGGAAGCTGGGTCAGGGAAAGGCATTGGGCAGCCTACTGGTGACATCCCTGAGCCTGAGGCCCTGGGAAGGGAGGCCCGTGACCTGTTCGTTGCTTTCTTTGGACAGAAGGCAAGGACTGCCCCTTTTGGCTTTGACCTGATGGTGCCCACAGTGTCCCCAGCTTTGGGAGAGACCTTGAATGTCACCTCCTCTTTCCACCTCAAAGGTGCCGGCATCTCTTTCTTCGACGTGGGTTCCTTTGGTAATGGAGGGACTCTGAAGTTGCCCCTCTGCCCACCTCCAGCCTACCCCAAGCCTCAGGGCCATGGTGGCCAGCGCTGTCAACTTGCAGGATGGCTGTGAGGAGAATCCGAGTGTGTGAAACTGCATCTCGGTCCCTTGTGGCCCACCCTTCCCTTACAGCACTGTGGACGGTTGTTACAGAGCAGAGGAGGTGAAATAAGTTTGGGGAAGGAGCTAGAGATCCAGCAGTGAACCAGACGGACTGGCGTGTCCCCCGTGAAGCTTGCGTTCCAGCAGTGGAGATGCACAAGCAAATGTGCAAAAACAATTCTTCCTCGACTCATGATGGAGTTGCATCCCCGTGAACCCATCACGTGCATTTCGTGCACCCGACCAGCTGAGCGGCACAGCTTAGCACAGCCCACCTTAAACGTGCTCAGAGCACTTACGTTAGCCTACAGTTGGGCAAAATCATCTAATACAGAGCCCATTTTATAATAAAGTGTTGACTATCTCATGTGATTTATTGAATACTGCGCTGAGAGTGAAGAACAGCTCGGCTGTAAGTGTATCGGTTGTTTACCCTTGTGATCGCGTGGCTGACCAGGAGCGGTGGCTCGCAGCCGCTGCCACTGCCCGGCTTCACGAGACTGTCGAACCAAGTTTCACTTGCCCTGGAAAAGATCAGAATTCAGTAGAAGTACGATTTCTGCTTTCGCACCATTGTAAAGTCGAAAAATCATAGGTTGGGGACCGTCTGTACATAAACGCTCTGTCAGGCGGTGGTCAGAGCGTCAGCAAACGCAGGGCAGCCACGGGGCGGGGTAGCCACGGTGGCCTCTCAGGCAGAGACCTGGCCAGCGTTCAATGAGTTCCTTAACGTAGGCCTTCTCTGAGTCTCTAATGCAGTTATGGGCATTTTGAAGCATCAGAGGGTTTTAATATTCAGTAGCTCAAAATTCACTTAACCGGGGAACTCGTTTTTCTTGGAGTGTGTTGCAGATCTGGTGTTAAATGGAGCACAGCATTCTCATGTATCAGGAGACCATCTTAAGCCAAATAAAGAGACTTGGATACCATGTCTGGGCTCAGGGCACGGACCTCCATCGATTAGTGATGGCTGCTGGGGTGGGAATGTGGGGTCGGGGTGGTACTTGAGAGCAGGCGTTTGTCACCACCCCCAAGCTGGGGTCTCATGCTGCATTCCTTCTTTGGGGGGACTATGAGTTTCTTGACAAACGAGGACATGGTGAAGTTTTAAGATGGATTAAAATTTTTTTCTGATATATAAACTGCAACACTCAGGTTAGTCTCTTCAGACAGACTCTGCTAGAAAAGGAGACTGGGGTAGGGGGTGGGGGTTTTAGTGGGGTGGGTTTGGCTCAGTGGTAAAGTGCATGCTTAGCATGCATGAGGCCCTGGGTTCAATCCCCAGTACATCCATTTAAAAAAAGAAAATAAATGACCACCTCTTCCCTTAAGAGAGCAAGTCTGGGAAAATGGCTGGAGAAGACAGACAGGATGTTACTTGACTTCCTGAAGAAACTTCTTGGCTAGAAGCACCTCCGTGTCTTACAGGAGAAGTCAGGCAGACTGTTGAGTCAGACTTTGGATCCATATAACCTTTTCCTGCCCACCCTGAACTTTCACATCTACTCCTTGTGTCTAGGTATTTGCCACAAAACTGACCTATCCTCAGCCAGTTACCCCGTGGAATGTTCAGGAGCTGAGGCAAGCAGTCATCAACGGCCCCAGTGTGCACCCAGGAGCCTCCATGGTCATCAACGAGGATGGCAGCCGCACGGCCCTGAGCGCCGCGGACCCCACCCAGCGGGAAGCTGTGGCCAAGCAGCTCCTGACACCTGCCACCGGGGCACCTAAGCCCCAGGGGACAAAAATTGTGAGTAGTGGGCAGATCTGGTCTGGGGCTGGGCCAGCTCCTGTCTGCTTCCCCATGACTGCCGGCTGACAGCTGTGGCCTCAGTGAGTGTGGTGCGGGATGCTGTGAGAGCAATTCCTGCCTCCCTCAGATGAGGCTGCCCCCATACCTGGGTGTTCCCCAGGGGCTTCCGGGTGCTTACCTGATCCCCCCAGGTGGGGCTAGAGCACCTTGGGCCTTAACACCACGATTAAAGTGGTCCTTAGACTGGACCTGGGGACTAAGGGTTTGGTTTCCGGAGTCTCAATAATGATATGTGTAATACGTATGCCTATAACCAGATACACATGCATCTGTGATTTATTTGTAGTTTATAAAGTAGGTTTTTTTTGGTCAACATACTGCATATGAATCAGGACCAGGCTGAAGGGCTGGGTGACATGATTGGGAAGAAGAGGTCCACGTCCAGGAAAGGACAAACTGCAGGTCAGACGAGAAGGGGAAGGATGACTGGAAGGCCCATTTCCCCTGGGAGGTGGGAAACCGCTCTCCCTTCCCCGGGACCTCGTAATTGGAGGAGGAAGTGGCCAGGCCCGGCAAGCCTCATTTCGCGGCCCCGCAGTCGGCCAGGAGCCGATCTTTGGCTCCGGGACTGCCTCTGAGAACTCTGACCCGGGCACTTGGGCACAGTACTTTTCACTGCAGTGTTTATTTAGAGACAAGAGAAAGGAAGGGCCTCAGGTTTGGGTTGGCGAGGGGAGCACTCTGTGCTCCAGGGCTTCTGTTTGGATTGGCCGGTGCTTGCTAGACTGGCCTGCGAGCCTGCCCAGCTGTGGAGTTTGCTTACGCTGGACGGTGTCTCCAATTTGCGAGACTCAGATCTGAGGCTTAGCCTGGGGTTTTGGGCCTGAGCCACAGGTCTCGGCAGTTTCTCCCTTGAGAAGCTAAGGAAATAAGACCTTGAAAGTCAGCTGCGGCTCTGTGACGTGCCCTGGGCAGACATTCATGGGAGTCCTCTGAATCCAGGTCTCCTTGGAAACATGGATGTGGGGGCTGGGGAAGGGCGGGTTTGGGTTCCTTGGGGAGCAGAAAGACTGACTCCATGCCAGCTGCTTTTAGGACTGCCTTTTAGAAGCTGAGGGGTATTCTGCTCCCTGCTCCCCTGAGTAGAAGGAAACTTTCAGCTCAGCTGAACAGGAATGAGGGGGTGGAGGGTGGGGAACATCTCTTATTAACCTCTAGCCTTTCTCTATAACCAGCTTCCTGATACAACTTTATAATCCGGGCAACACAAGAGGAAACTAAACCCGCTGTAATTTTTTCCCCCGACCTATTGTGTGCTGGGTAATTCAGGGAGACTTAGGGTCGGGGGAGGTCTCATTGAGTCTCCATCATGCCTCTGGGCTGCTGAGGGCAGCCCACGGGATGATGAGGGCAGCAGTTGCTGCATGCATCTCTTTTGAGGTAATGTTTCTGCTCATCATTTAGGAAGCCCAGTAGTTAATATACCATGAGATAAAGGGCCTTATACTCGAGTCAGCTTATACTCAAGTCAGTGAGAGGAGGGGTTCTGTCAGGAAGATGTGACCAATGGCATGTTGATATTGGTAGGAACAAAAAAATGTGAGCAGTGGTTGTCTTTTAGGAGTAAAATTACTCATGATTTTCACTTTCTTCTTTAAGTTTGTATTTTCTATATTTTCCCCTACAATAACATATCACTTGTGTACTTTTTCTTTCTTTAGAAATAGTTGAAGATCTTTTTAAAAAAACTGTATAGAAGTAATACACATTCATTGTAACATAAATAACACTAAGATGATGAAGGTAAAGGTGATGGTCTGTGCCTTACTTTCCTTCCCCAGTGCCCCAGCCCCAAGGAGGCCATAGAAGCAAATTGGTGAGGAGCTAAGCACCCTTTTCCCTCACGTATAGAAACATGTAGAGTTGGGTTGGGTTTTAAATTGCTTCATTCTGTCACCTGGATTGGTTTTGTCTTGCTGGAGTACATGATTGCCATCACTTCAGGACTGGTATAGATTTAAATCATCCTTTTTCATCACTGCATAATATTCCACAATCTGTACCATGGTTTATCCACCTACGCCCCTTTCTGTGGGGCAGCCAGGCTATTTCCAGCTTTTGCCATTATAAACACTGCTGCATAAACATACATGTTCCTATAACCTTGCATTGGCATCTTTTTCATAATAAAAGGCCAAAAGAAATGAGTTTTAAATGTTCTAAAATCTATTGTGAAATTGCTTTCCCAAAAGACTATGGCAATTTAAACTTCTTATTAATTTTTAAGTGCAATAAAACATTTTCAGAAAGCATTGAAGTGGGAATCAAGAACCCTGTGTTTCAGTGTAGCTCTGCTGGATGAGATTGGGCATGTATTTCTATGACATGGAATTCATATTTAGAATAACATGTTCGTATGTGTGCAGGGGGTTGTAGAGGTCTGCCAAGTCCTTTCAAGCCCTGGGGTTTTACGGCTCTTTGTAGATACGCTGTCTTCAGATGTGTCCATTTCTTGCATTTTTAGTAGACTGATTCTCAGAGGAATTCAAGATTCTGGAAAGGCCATGCATCCCCGAAGAAGACGGGGATTACTGAACAGAGGCCTGTAGCCTCGTTTGCTTGTGCCTCTGAGCCCAGAGCCAGGATCAAGCCTGTGCTGGGCGAGGAGCTATTTCCCAGAGTACCAGAGGGACTTAGTAGCTGTCTCCTAAAGATTTTTAGGGTTTCACTCCAGACTAAAAATTCTCCTTTTCTTTCGTTGAATAAAACATGAGACAGAGGCCACACTCAGCCCAGACTGAAGTGAGCCCCTTGGAACAGCAGTGATGCTGCTCAAGTTGCCACCACTCACGCCCTGTCCTCTGCTCTGCCCCCAGGTGTGCCGGCACGTGAAGAATGGGGACATCCTCCTCCTGAACCGACAGCCCACCCTGCACAGGCCCTCCATCCAGGCGCACCGCGCCCGCATCCTGCCGGAAGAGAAGGTTCTGCGGCTCCACTATGCCAACTGCAAGGCCTACAACGCCGACTTTGATGGGGACGAGATGAACGCCCACTTCCCCCAGAGCGAACTGGGCCGAGCCGAGGCCTACGTCCTGGCCTGCACGGATCAGCAGTACCTCGTTCCCAAGGTAGATCTGTCCTGGGGGCCTCTCCACCGTCCTTGGTGGCACCACTTGGCCGTTCAGGTCTGGGTCCCTGCCAGCTCCTGGGTTCGGTGGGCGGCCCCAGAGCCGGGGCATGTGGAGCAGAGGGTCCTGGCATCTTCCAGGTGGGCTCTTCAGCTCTCCAGATGCTCGGAGGCCTGGAAGGGTTTCTGTCTTGCTGCCTTTTACATGCAAGGCCACGGAGAAGAGGGGACCTTTGCAGCCTGGAAACACCAGAGGCTGCTCGGAGATGTGCAGCACTGACTAGTGCCCTCTCCTCCTGGAAGCTCCCGGGAGCAGGTGCAGGTGACTCTGCCACCTGGGGGAATCAGGCAGCTGGCCCGGTCCTTGCGTCCCAGCCTCTTTTCCCACCACACATACCTCTGTGGCTTCACACTGGACCCAGTTGTTTCAATGTAATTTTCTTTCCCTTCTCTGCTCACCTTAGCTGCCTGTTGATCCGTGAACAGGCTGACAGTAGGCAGGAGGGGTTAAGGGCCCAGTCAGGTTCCCCAGAAGTTAGAGGAAATAGTTTGATTAATTTTTGCCAATAATTAGGTGAAACAATTAGAAGGGAATAATTTGATTGCTTTGAAAATTAGCCTCTTGTCTTCTCACGTAAATAATAATAGTTGTGGCCATAATGGTGGTGACAACAAAAGCCACCGTCCGCTCAGCTCTCCCTTGCAGCAGTTTGCAGACGTTCCCTAACCCGGTCCTCACCACAGCCTTAGGAGGCAGGTGCAGTTTTCCGACGAGGAAACTCAGGTGAGTGACTTGCCAGCCAGTGATGAGAACCCAGCACATCTGACCCCCCGCCCCCAAGCCTGTGTGTTCAGCCTCGTGTGTCATGAGCCCCCTTGACAGGCCAGGCTGGAGCTGGGTGAGGGCACGTGGCACTAGGTGTCTCCTAGAACTGAACCGACTGTCTGGCTCTCTCAAAACCGTGTCACGTTTCATCACAGGGGGTGCTACCAGCAAGCGGCGGGTGGTGCATTTTTTGCTGGCAGAGTGACCTCTGGCCGTTAGCTTTGTGGGAGCTGGGTGCTTCAGAGTTCCCAGAACTTGAATGTTCTACACTTGATTTTGGTCGAAGAAAATAGAATAGGAAACTTCGTGCTTATTACACTGTGCAAAGGGTTGGCCTATTTAAATCCGGAAGTGCTTCCTCACGTGCTTGCCTGCCTCTGAGTTTTAGGTCAGGTGACAGGCAGAACACAGATACAGAAGCTTACAGCAATAAATTAATCTCTTAAAAAGTAAAAAACAAACAAAAAACACGAGGGGATGACTTGAGAGTTCACCTTACTTGTAAATAATTTCTTTTGTCAGCGATAAAGAGCTTTTGATTTTTGATACATTTTTAGCCCTCAGGGTAAATGCCAAGAGAGGGGAATCCTTATTTTTTGCAAACATTTATAAAAATGAAACATGTCTCGAAGTCCTAAGAGGTGAAGAGCTGATTTTCTTAAGCTAGGAAAGCCATTTTTTGCTAATTTTTTTAGAGGGGGGATCTTTATTTCCCTTTGTTTCCATTTCTCTGTTCATTTTTCCATTCCTTCCCTATTTCCGAGTTCCCTTCCTTAATTAACCGTAGTACCCAATTTAAGTGCATTTCGTTGTTGGTTGTATGTATTTAACAGAGCTGTGTATTGTCTTAAAATAGGAGGCCAATGGAACTTTAGCTGTTTCTTTTCCAAGAAAACAGTTAAACACTTTTCATTTATATGTTTCTTCGTGGATTCTTTTTTTTCTGCTGTTTATTGTACTTACTGAGGGCCAATGCTTTGTGAAAAGTTTTTTTAACAAGCCTTGAGACATAGTTTCCTGACTTTGACGTAATCAGCTAAAAATTCAAGTCACAGAATACCCTAATTCTCTTAAGTATCCTGACCAAAGCCATCAATTGTAATGTCATTTTGCTGGGATATTAGGTGGAATAGGATAGCTAACAATTACCTGGGGTTTTGAATCAGAAATGGTCTTTCTGATCCTAAGCAGATTTCGGGAATTCAGAAGCATAAGTAGACCCTTTCGTCAATTGCTTTAATCAGCATTCCTCCTTAGAACGCATGATTATTGCATTGAAAGCAATTTAGCCATTAAGGCAATTTTCCAGTCATGGAAAAATCTGGATGGAGAGAGAAGGCACTGAATAGATCTCGTAACTTGTAATTATGTTCTTTAAAGGAAGAAAACAAAGGGGAAAGTCTATATTTGCCCCCAGAGACTGATGAGTCAAATGCCTAATACTGTTTTGGGTCCCCTCCCCCCCCCCAGCAGAATGAGACCTTGTCTTTGGAATAAGATGCAGAGTATAGTTTTTCATTCACATTCGTAAGTCAAAGCCTTCGATAAGAAGGGCCGTGTGTGCCCTCTGATCTTGCCTTCCACCTGCAGCACCTGTTCAGCTTATCTGTAATAATTATCTTTGACTTTACGTGAAGCCCATTGCTGCAGTATTTAAGACTGTTTGACAAGCATCCTTTTAGCCTCTGAGTTAGTGCGGGTGGTTAAACTCCTGGCACTTCTCCATGGCTGCATTTGTGAGCTCTTTACTTATGCAACATGACCATAATATTGGATGGTATTTAACAAATAAGCAAATGGTAGGGATCTTTAGATCCAAGGCACCAATTTTTCTCAAGTTCCCATAAACATTGAAAAGTTTGCAAAAATTACTTCTTAAAGAATGTCAGTGAGCCAGGCTGTTTTTACTTTAGTGTGCCTTGGGTGGCCGTGAATGCAGACCCAAAGATAAGGTTCAGGAGACTGGGGGCCAGAAAGGCTGTGGAAGGTATCAAATGTGATGAATGTACGCACCCAGCCTGGAGCTTTTATAAAAGCCCTTGTTCTGGCATCTGGTAGATAACAGCCTGCCATGAACATGTGCTCCATTGTGAAGAGACACTAGTAACAGGTGTTCCTTCCTTCTGCAGCCATGCACATCAAAGCCGTCTCATGACCCCCTTGAGAAACCTCTGCCTGAGCCCCTCCCTCCCTCCCTGCAGTGGCTGACTGCAAGTCACTCCTCTGCCCTAGCTGCAATGCTGCCCCTCAGAGAGACCATTCCTGACCATCTGCACACCCCAAATCTATACGATGACCCTTCTTGTTATATTCTCTTCCATGCCGTCTGAAACTCTTGTGATAATGTGTTAATCCAGTCATTTGTTTACTGTCCGGCTCTTCCTCATCATAAAGGATTGTGTCTGTCTGGTCCACTGGAGTAGAAGGAAGGTCTAACCCAGTGCCTCGGCATACAGTAGGCTCTCAATAAATATTTGTTAAATGGATGACTGCCTTAGAGGAGAACCAGGCCAGAAATGTGTGAAAAATACCAAAGCATAAAACCAAAATATAAAAACAAGAACACAGCTAACAGCAGCCAGACCAGATTTATGCATAAATGTGGAAAATATGCCAGAGTAACGAGAAGCAGATGGCATTATGGAGGGAAGCCTTGGGGGACTGGATGAGTTTGAAGCAGTTTTGATATAGAACAGTGGGCAAACGGCAAAGGCAGAAGGCAATCAGGAAGCCCTGGTCACGTGCTTTGGGAGGCAGTTTGCTCTCAAGATGGGCGGCTCAGGCCCTGGCCCGGTGCGGCTGTGGGGCAGGACAGCACCAGCATATGAGGGTGGGTTGCTCTGGGCAGCTTCCAAGCAGATGATTAGGAATTACAATGTGACTTAAATTTTTTCTTTGTTCACCTCTTACCTATTTTGGTTTGTAGGATGGCCAACCATTGGCGGGGCTGATCCAAGATCACATGGTTTCGGGTGCAAACATGACCATTCGAGGCTGCTTTTTCACCCGGGAGCAGTATATGGAGCTGGTGTACCGAGGACTCACAGACAAAGTGGGGCGCGTGAAGCTCTTTCCTCCTGCCATCCTGAAGCCCTTCCCGCTGTGGACAGGAAAGCAGGTAATTGGGAGAAAAAAAAAATGATAAGTTGTAAAAAAAAAATGGAAACAGACCACTCGGGAAAAGATATCCTTCTCAGGAGAGCCCAGGCCAGGATCAGAGAAATGGCAAGTCAAACAGTGGTCTGACTTTCTCTTTGGTGGGGCATTTGGATGTGGATGGTTTCGAGGGAGTGTCTACTAAGCGCAGGCTGCATAATTTCTGTCCTTTGCTTCTAACTTAAATTTGATGTCCTCATAATCCAGATGTGGGGGTCACAGGCAGCGGTGCTGATGGGAGCAGTGGTAATGTTTGTTGGGAGTGCTTCAGAAAGGTTACCTTCCTTAATCCTCACAACCAGCCTGCGGTGCAGAGACCATCATTAGCACCATTTAGCAGATGAGGATAACCTCATGGTGGTCT